CCACAAAGTGGGCATTTGCCCAGCGCCCACTGTCTGTAGAGGCCCACATGAAAAGGGGGAGGGAGTGGCCAGAGCAACAGCAGCAGTGGGCTGGGAGCCATTGGGGCTGCGAGAGTGAGGCCAGCCTGGGGCTGTGGTGCAGTGCACGCAGGCGGTACTCCTGGCTGGAAGTTATGGGGGATGGAAGGTGGACAGATGATGCTCAGCTCTTTTGTGCACCATGTTCTGCCCAAAATGGTCTGCCACGGGTCTGCAGCTGTGCCCAAGCAAGAGCCGTGGGACCCTTCAGCAAGTGCACCATCCTCCACCTCCCCTTTGCTTCCCTGGAGGCCAGACTGCGGCTGCCATGGGCATCATTGGGGTCGCTGATCTTCCTGTGTTGGGCGGCATTGCTGTTTAAGTGGGCATGTGCAGAGTGCCTCAAAGCCCAGTTTTAGGCTTCTCTTGCCTCACCCCTCCCTCATAAGCTACACTTGCTTTTCATTGTTAAATAAATAAATAAATGTCCTGCCCAAAATGGTCTGCCACGGCTCTGCCGCTGTGCCCACGGAAGAGCCGTGGGACCCTTCAGCGTGTGCACCAGCCTCCACCTCCCCTTTGCTCCCCTAGAGGCCATACTGCGGCTGCCATGGGCACCATTGGGGTAGCTGATCTTCCTGTGTTGGGCGGCATTGCTGTGTAAGTGGGAGGTGCACCTGTGGGAGGTGGTACTGTGCCCCACCACCCAACTAGGAGAAGGGAGCCCTCCTGCTCCTTGAGGACCTGCTCTGAGATCTATTCTGGGGCCCCAAGGGTCCCACGCCCCTGGAGGTGCATACAGCCATCTTTGCCCCCACACGGAGATGCATGGTTTCAAGAAGCTTTGAGATGAAGGTTATAGGAGAGGTGTGCCAAGAGTAAAGAGGAACAAAGTATGGGAATGCTGATCCATTTTTTCCTTACATGAAGGGGAACAAACTTATTCTATCAGCTAATTAGGTTTTTAAAGCTAAAACTGCCTTCCAGGTAGAGCACCAGCTTGGTTTCCAGAAATTCAGATTTCCTTTTTAACTTTAATATTTTGAGGCTTTAGGTGTGTTGCTTGAGCTGCTCACTACTTGGAAGCTGGTATGTCCTCTTTAAAATGTTCAGTGTGGGTGTATGCTGTCCACCTCTGGCTCCTCTTCTTAAAGTGACTCCATAGATGGCTTGTGACCATAGCGATGGGGCACACACACCTGTCATTTTGAGGTGCCTGATTCTTATGAGTCTTGTTGTCTAAAGGCAGTGGTAGAAAAACGCTCTTCAATGGTGTTTCTTACACTTATATCTACTATCATCAGTGGGTGTAAATGATGTTAAATCAATAGTTAAACAGAGGATGCTGGATACAGATTACCAAGGGACTGATGTGCCTTGTACATAAAGATGGGATGCATATAAGATGGCGAACTGTTCCTATATGAAGGCATTTTCCTTTGCAAGGTTCGGTGTTCTCTGCTTGAATTTATTAGATGGCAGGTGCAATAAAATTCCAATGAATACAAGTGGGGACTCCTGCAACAACGGAGAGGTAGAGTTTATTTTGCAAGGTTTTTTGTCCGTACTTCACCTTTTCCTGAAGGGGCTTGGAAAAAAAGCTAATACATCCTGTTACTCGAACTCTTCCTTGCCACTATTTTTTAGCCTCTTCTGACTACTTTGCTTATAACAAGTCAGTCACTTAAGAACTGTCAAAAATTCTTGAAAGCAGTCCTTCTCACCAGATCACATATGATTATTTTATTGATTTATTGATTGATTGATTTGATTTATATCCTGCCCATCCGGCAGCCAAGGCCACTGTGAGTTTTGTTTGAATTTAGATATATATTTAATGTTTGTTAAAAAAGAATGTGTACTTTTATGTACATTAATATGTGTTTTATTCAGTCATGTAATGGTCCATTGACTGTAAATAATGAGAACGAGTTGAATAGACTATGCTGACTGGGCCAATCCAAGAAATATGTCCAATTTTTAAAGGAAGGGTCTTTTATGTATACAAAAGTGTATGTTTCATCTACATAGTTATACATTTTGTCCCTATGACAGGATCCCCGATTCAATGCAGAAGTGGATCAAATTACAGGATATAAGACGCAGAGCATCCTTTGTATGCCAATAAAGAACCACAGAGATGAGGTAAGAAGTAGCTTTAGACTTTGTAATTTTTAGCATTGCCAACTCTGCTAGCTGTTTAAACTGTTTTCATCTTTCATACTCTGAGCCAAAGTAAAACATTGTTTGTCCTTTCTTTTGCCTTTAAAAAAGTCTGTCTGCATATATTCCATAGAGTTTTGACCTGTTCCATAAACTATGCAGAACTGGTATACAGCCAGTTTTTTTTTCAAATCTTTAGTGCTGTAATTTTTCAAATACTGTTAACCATTTTTGGCATTGAAAGTAGATATGCATTCTTCTTCTTCTTCTTCTTCTTCTTCTTCTTCTTCTTCTTCTTCTTCTTCTTCTTCTTCTTCTTCTTCTTCTTCTTCTTCTTCTTCTTCTTCTTCTTCTTCTTCTTCTTCTAATACCAGACTCTTTTTATGATTAATTACTGTTTCCTATTAATAGTTCAACTACATTTATATTTATACTAGATGCATTACTAGAAATATCTAAAGTAAAATGAACCTGTCATGTTATCATTACAATAAAAATCACAAAATAATAAAGGAGAATATTAGAAGACTGTCAACAAGAAAATGGAATTGACTGAATATCCCATTTAAATATAAATTTTATGAAAATTAATGGAATCAAAAATTATATAATTCAGAAAAGGACTCTAGATTCTGCTAGAGATTCTAACAGAAACAGAAGCATTTCTTCATCTTTTCTCTGAGTTCAAATCCCATGATTTCTAAGTATTATGTGAGAAAGGTATTGAAGGTCAGTAAAAGCTGATTGCAAATAAGTACAGTAAGTTTAGTTCTGAGCCTAAGGAATTAGCAGTGTAACATGCCTACTTGTAACTGAGCCCCACTGGGTTAAGAAGCACTTGCTCTCATGTGAGTATTGCACTGCAGCCTAAATTCAAATTCAAAGTACATTGTGAGTGTGTTTGCTGAAAATGTAACCCTCACGCATGAAGCTTTTAAAAAATATATACTGAGGTTGTTACAGAGTATTTCCTGTTAGTTTCTCTTCTCAATTAAAGGTGCTGGTCATCACCTATCAAGACCTTAATGGTTTAGGATCTTGAAACCTGTTGGAATGTCTCTCCCACAAAACAGCTACCTGTCCCGCCTGCTCATTGCAGTCCATGATGTTAAAAATTGTAACACCTAGGGAGGCCAAAAGAGTGAATATCAGACAATGGGCTTTTTCAGTTGTGGCCTCCTATCTATGAAACAAACTTTCAACAGAAGTACTCCAGGCACCTTCTCTCAGATTGTTAAAAAAATTAGTGTAAACAAAATTATTTGCTTTTTATTAGTGCTTGTTACCCAAGACGTTCGACATTGTTTCAGTTTGTTTCTTTATTTAAGCCAGATTTAGTTAGTTACAGTGGTTTTTATCTATTTTATATTTATTTGTCTATTGTATTGTAATAATCTTTAAAGTGATTTAGTATGATTATGTTGTGAGTCGCTCAGAGACTGCTTGCACTGTGGGGCACTATTCAAGTTTAAACCAACCAACCAACCAACCAACAAATAAATAAATAAATAAACGTCTGACTTTAGTAATTCAAATATATCATTGTTAGCATTGTGGTTAGAGTTTTATTTACGCTTCTTGTTTTTCCTTATCCAAATGAAAATTCCAGTTCCCCACCAGCCTGAGTAAGGTCAACGTTCTGGTAACCAGTATATGACACTACTTCTCTGTATCATGTTTCATCAGAAATGTTGTGAGGCACATCTTTGACTGGGACTACATGTGTCCCAGTGAGAGAAAGCAGTAAGTTTTGAGTGGTGTTTTTTCTTCCGGTTGTTCTTTCTTTCTGAAACAAAACTAAAGCTATACACCTATACCTATAATCTTGATGTACAGTTTACCACCATTTAGGTGACAGAGTTACAGAATGCCATTCCAGTGTTATTTATAGTTAACATATGGATGCTGGCAGCTGGTTCAGCATCATAATGCTGCAGTCTCTTGTAGTCTTGAAGGCCACTCAGTAAGTAATGCAAGATTTCATCAAACTGAGGGTGCACCAAGGCCAGTAGAAAATAAAAAAGCTTTGGAGAAGACTATGCCAGAGCAGCCTAATGAGGAGTGAACATGAACAATGGGGCAAGGAATGCTGACTATTGTGGGTGTGAATATTCTGAAAGAAAGTATGTTAGAATGCAGCATTGCATGCTGCAGCATTTAGTTGAAAGAGTCGCTGAGTGTAATGGAATTTTATGAACTGTTGCTTCATTGCCATGTTGATGTAAATGTATGGAATTCACATGATGGAAAATTAGCCTCACATTGGACTTCCGCTAGGATGTCTCAACACCTCACGATTTTTCAGAGTTTCTATTTGTGGTGATTTCACCCCGCTATAGGTTTGGAAATAATAATGATAAGTTTGTGCGGTGTATAGTTTCGGATGCATGGTTCATATGCATAGGTAGGCAGGTGCTGGAATCATGGACAGATATGTGACAGAATGTTTGGTGCAAGGCTGAATGCTGGTTGGGTGATGTGTTTCAAATTTGAAGGGATGTTAATGGGGAGTGACAGTCTGTTTTAGGGTAGGCCAGGGTGAGGAGTCCGGTTGAGGGATCAGATCTGTGGAGTCTGTGTGAATTGCTGCTCATGAATTTGAGTGCACAAGAATGGGCTGTGATTAGGTGTGCATGAATATTGTAGATGAATAGAACATTGCAGTGTTCCCCTTTCCGATTCTAATACCTAGTGAATTACTCTTCCTTGCTCCCATTTATCTGTCCACCCCTAATAAACTTCTTAAATTTGTTCCTAAATAAAAATCTCTTTGTTATTTGTTTTATGCAGTAGGTTTACAGTAATAAAGGGCATTTAGAGGCCGAGAAATATAGAGCGTGATGCCACACGGTTGGCAGGTGACACAAAAGCAAAAGAAGGAAGCCAGAGTTTTCACTGAGTGGAATGTTTTATTTCAGCAGCAGATCAAAATATAAACATCAGCTGGGGCAAGGTAGCATTGGCTGGGTGGCCCAGTTAATGGCACAGCCCCAAATATGTACCTAGGAAAGGTTTAGAGTTACATGTTCCTGGGCAAACACCTGAGCTGCCAGTATGAATAAAAAGGTTTGGGAGGTGAATGTGTCAGGAAAGTGTGGCTTCTGGGGAGTGTGTATTTCACTGGTGTGGTAGAAGCAGACAGGGGCACCTCCCTAGAAGCATTACATTATTGGCATGCCATTTTCAGTTAGATGATCTGCTTGATTTTGTGTTTTTCAAATGTCTGTTTTCCAAGCAGCATTTCAGTTTTTAAAATCTAAATACATGTATGGTTTCGGTGCTTTTCTTATGTTTGTTGAAAACGTTATGTTATTTTATTACTGCTACTGCTTTTCCTGTTTCTGACAGTGTCTGTCCATTACGCTGTTTATTGAAGTGTGCAAGCAGTCATAGCTTGCTGGTTTTACTCGTATATACCTTCTTCATTACCACTGCTAGTTTATTCTTTGGAGCTCTATTTCTACTTGGCAGGCACTAAAGCTGGCCCTGAGTCAACTGAGCAGACCACTGCGGGTGGCGATGCCTGGCGTCGGAAGTCTGGTGCACAAAGTCCATTTTTCCCCCGAAGACGTGCTTTCTTTAGACAAACAGGTTGAAACAAAACAAGAATGTGTCAGGCCTTTGGCTTGCCGGTTTATATTTATCATAAACATTAAAGGGCCTTGCTGTACAACCACAGACTTTGCAGCTACCGTCATCTAGTCAGGCATGGTAGGCCGGAGTAAAAATGGAATTTCATCTTTCTCACATCAAGCTATTCTAAAACTAGTAGCATTGTTTGAATAATTACTTAGCTTGATATTTGTAGCATCTGAAAGAAGATTGGATGAATTAGATAGTTTTACTCTCTCACAACACAAGTAGAGTCCTAGCTAATGCAATGAGGCCCTTCTTTCCTTTGGAAATAGAAAACAAATTGATAGATGAACAAATTAACTAAGGTTAGAAAGAGTGGGCAGGGAAGAGGATAGCAGGCATTTGAAATCAAAGGAAGTGTTTGGGACTGTTTCTGAGGAAAAACTGCCTGATTGGGAGGGGGGCTCCCCTTTCAGGCTCTCTTACCATACGTTTTTCTTCATTCTAACCATAATGCCTCACAGACACATTTCTGGAAGGAAGCTTGATCCATTGAATCAGCCTCTAAATTACCATCTGCTGTTAGCCACCTTTCCTATATTTTTCAAGACATTAACAACATAAAAACATTCTGGTTCTTCGATTCAAAAGATAAAAGCCCAGAAAACGGATGTAACAATAATATTAAAGATTTATCTTGCAGTTTTAAAAAGTTGCTTGAGTTCTCAATGACACCCACAGCAATCTAGAGATTAAAGACATTTCTTTACAGTTGGAGAAACCATATCACTAGCACTCTTTAGCCATCATACTCCCACGAGTGACACTTCAGTAGTGTAGCCATCTGTGAATGTTCTGGGCAGAACCCACTCTGTGCCATTTATCTGTGAACATTTTGATGTAACAAGCAGTAGAAGGCACAATGCTGCTGCTTGGTCATGGGGCAGGGGTCAGATTTGTCTAGATCTGTCCTTCTTTAAGCAATATGGCAGGAACTGCACATATCCCTGGCGTTAAACAAATAGTATACAAAGGGACAATTCTTCCCAACTCTTCCGGCATCTTTCTCTTCCCCTTCCATATGCACGTGCTATACATGAGTGTTTTAGAAGCAACTCATTTTAAAAATTATAGTCATACAATTGATTTGTTTCTATACCTTATTTTCCACAATGGTTTATATGCAAATTGGTTCAAAAAAAGGAATAAGCACAATTATAACAATTACAACAGATTAAGTCAATTACAATTTGCTTAACATTTCAACTTTATACCAATAACCATATCAAATATTAGCATTATTATTGAATGCTGTGATTCAGTTTCATACATTTCATACTAAGGGTCCAAGCAAAAAGACAGTGTGCTCACATCGTACTGTGAGGGAGACACCACAAGTGAGTGGA